TCATCTAACTGCGATGAATTGGGTGAAATATACATATTTTAAACATTTAACATTGTTCAAAGAGTAATAAGTGTAAAAAAATAACAATATTGCGTTAGTTGTCAAATTTGGTTGTTCATTCAATGATTAAAATATTTCCTATCCTGTACGTCATCGGAGTTATTATTAGTATGTTATATGGTATCTCTTCCTTTGGTAGAACCTTTTAATAGTATTTAAATCGTATTGGTGGATCTTATAGTTAAACACTTCGGCGACTTCATCAGTGTTTGAGAAAAAATATATGTTTGTTGAGAAGACACGTTCTAACTTCAAAGGGAGTTATATCCGTTACAGTGTAAGTTTGATTTTCCTTCGTCACGTCGCGTCAGCTCATATCGTACTTCTGTGCCAATGAATAAACCCTCTAGCATAGTTTTGAGAAATTGACTATGGGGTTACTGATAAAGCTGGAATTCCTTGACATGGGGGATGTCAGTTAGTTGTCTCGGCCTTATCAATAACATAAAGTTGTCAATATAATCTCTCTACGGAATGTTAGGTGTAGTGGAATACATGAAGTAAAGTTGGCTTTTATTCTTGAACTGTTAGGGACCTCCTAGTTCATATTATGATCTTGGCGGCTTCATTGGCGATAAATAATGCAAATGACATAGCAGCAATGGAACATTTCCAAAAAGCAAAAATACTGTAAAATGGCTGTTACGTATATATTGAAGTTTACATATTGTTAATCAACGTATATGATAAATACTTTAATCCTTTAATACGTTTTTTTTATGACGACAATTCATAGTAGGTAAGCCAAGTGAATGGAAGAATGTATGAAGAAAGTATGAATGGAGATGAGTGTAGGATGAGTGGCACGATCTTGAAGTCTTGTTAGTGACTAAGGCCGACATTCCTTGGATACAGCTGTTAATTAATAGCCCATACAGCGAATGGCAACCAAGGGACCTACAGTTTATAGTTGAATTGGAACCAATTTTTTTTTGCATTGGTATTTATGAATATTGGTATAATTATCAGGATAGCACTGCGGGTAGTCGTAGTACTCACTCGTGCGGACGTTAATCCACACCAGGGAGTATCGCATCCACAGTGCATTCCTATAAATATCCACAATTCGTGACCTCCTAGTAGTTGGATTACAGGACGACGCCACCCGTCCCAGTCAAAGGATTATGTGATCTAGTTTAAAAGGAATATGACATTTCTGTCATGACAGTAGCTGCTTAAATTGTATTTTCTCTTTGTACCATATTTTACAGCCAAAATGTTGTGTTATTTTCAATAATGTTACAAATTCAGTGCGCCAAAGTCCGTAATATAGGCAGGTGCAAATAATTTGTCAAGATAGGTACCATTTTAGGCAACGTTTCTAAGTTTGGATTCTATTAGACTCAATAAGAGCAGACATTTCTACATAAATATTTGATATTTTGTAGAATAATATGATAAAATGTAGGCAAAAGTGGCGAAAAATGCACACACCAACCCGTACAATAGATATAAGATAGTTCAATAAGAAATAATTTAAGAATTACTGTGATAAAAGGATTTTCCACTGATTTCGTAATGGAACGTTATATTGCAAAACATGGCATGATAAAGAAGAAAATCAATTTTAAAATCAGAAAATAACATTACAAATACTTATTTGGTAGAATTCAACTCCCAATAAATATGTGTTGTTTGAAATACAATTTAAAAATGAACAGCTGTTTCATTAAAAAGTATTATTCTCGTGGCCAAAATGTAAACAACTCTGTGGAGGGATCTTTTAAGGCTTCTGGGACAGAGTCCTAAGGGATTTTGCTTAGTTTTTATTTTTTTAACTCATCTACAGACCAAGACCTTTCTTTGGACACCTCTACCAAGTTTCTACGCCCAACCGTTCTCTCAAATTAGTGGGGACAAAGTTTCCAATCAAATATTTAGATTCCCCCATGTTAATCTTATGGGAGAAACTCCAACTTTGATGGCCTGTGGGGCAAAGCCCGAGGATTTTTACTACATGAATTGGTGAAAGGGGGCGTCTACACAAATAATACTTTATTTTGACACGTCGTTTGTAAAAATCCGTCCATTATTAACGGAGGAGTAGTGTTTTCTAAAAATCGCCTTCACGTATTATATATAAGGATGCTAACTAGTCTAAAAGTTTTAGAAAGAGTTTTTCTTCATACTGGTATGTGACACTTATCTCTAATAACTTCAAATTAAATTTAAATTTGTGAAGAAACAACCTGGAAAAGTTACTTCAAGATGTCAAAAACAAAATATGGATAATATCTCTTCCTTACATGGAGGCAGCCATTTGCACCAATGAACTATGGGTGAACAAACAATTTTGGAGTTCCCTCACAGAGTGCAGCAGTTGGCAGACTAGCCAAATACAAAAAAATATAGCTGTTCCACTGTGGCCCACGTTCCATTTTGGCCCACCATCCCTTACTGTTTCTGTTATAATATATTTGATAACAGTCCACAGCTGATCTCATGCATTTGTTTTTGTGTCAAATCCTGCTTCCATAAAGATTACTTTGAATCTTTGATAACCCGTGGGGCGGATTCCTTGGAGAGTCTGTTAACACCATAGATGTTAGCACTCACCAATATGGTCTTTATCACCATGCAAAATTTGAAAATGATCATTTCAGCCGTCTAGGACGAGTTTGCGTATTACAAAATGCATAAGAGCTTCACTCAATAAAAATACACCTTTCAAGAATGTTTCAGGGCACTAGTTTCAGTATTGAAATTGTTCCCATGAATGTGATATTTAAAATGAACAATAAATAGTTAAACAGGATAATTTTCAAATTCTTACTAGGCTATAGCAATTACTATCTCCACATTTGTATATATTTTAAATGGTAGTTTAAATTATTAAAGACTATAGTAAAACTACTATTAAATTAATTCATTTATAAATAAAACACTATTTTTCCCTCGTATATGCCACTTGTAAAAACTTTTATGAGTTTTATTTTTTTATAACAAAATTCTAGCACCAAACCAAAATTTGAAAAAAGGAAAAAATATTAAAATTTTCTACAAAGATTTGTATTTAGGTAAAAACAAATTTAAAAGCAAGTTTGACATCATCAATAAAGAAAAAAAGTTGTTTTAAGGAAACACAAAGTAGGCCTAGATAACACAATTCTTAGGTATTCAAAAGTTTAAATAACACTAGGGGAAACCCGTCGAAATCGACGGTTACTTTCAAGGCTTACGTTAATTCATCTAACTGCGATAAATTGGGTGAAATATACATATTTTGAGCATTTAGCATTGTTTAAAGGGTAGTAAGTGTGAAAACAATAATGATTTTAATTGCGTTAGTTGCCAAATTTGGTTGATCATTCAATGATTAAAATATTTCCCATACCGTACGTCATTTGACTCATCGGAGTTATTATTAGTATGTTATATGATATCTCTTCCTTTGGAAGAACCTTTAAATAGTATTAAAATCGTATTGGTGGGTCTTTTGTAGTTAAACACTTCTGTGATTTCATCAGTGTAATATGATTTTATTTGAAATGAAAATATTTTTTGGGAAGAAATGTTCTAACTTCAAAGGGAGGTATGTCCGTTACAGTGTAAGTTTGATTTTTCCTTCGTCACGTCGCGTCAGTTCATATCGTACTTCTGTGCCAATGAATGAACCCTCTAGCATAGTTATGAGAAATTTATTGTGGGGTTACTGTTAAAGCTGGAATTCCTTGACATGGGGGATGTCAGTTAGTTGTCTCAGCCTTATCAATAACATAAAGTTGTCAATATAATCTCTCTACGGAATGATAGGTGTAGTGGAATACTTGAAGTGAAGTTGGCTTTTATTCTTAAACTGTTAGAGACCTCCTAGTTTATATGGTCTTGCGGCTTCATTGACAACAAATAATGCAAATGACATAGCAATGGGACATTTCCAAAAAGAAAAAATACTGTAAATTGGCTGTTGCGTATGAATTGACGTTTACATATTGTAAATCAACGTATCTTATAAAGGATTATGAGGTCTAGTTTAAAAGGAATATGACCTTTCTGTCATGACAGTAGCTGCTAAAATAGTATTTTCTCTTTGTACCATATTTTACAGCCAAAACGTCGTGTTATTTTCAATGATGTTACCAACCCAGTGCGCCAAAGTCCGTAATATAGGCAGGTGCAAATAATTTGTCAAGATGGGTACAATTTTAGGCAATGTTTCTATGTTTGGATTTTATTAGACACGATAAGAGCAGATATTTCTACATGAATATTTGATATGTGTAGAATAATATGATAAAATTTAGGCAAAAGTGGTGAAAAAGGCAGACACCAACCCGTACAATAGATATAAGATAGTTCAATAAGAAATAATTTAAGAATTTCTGTTATCAAAGGATTTTCCACTGATTTCGTAATAGAACGTTATATTGCAAAACATGACATGATAAAGAGGAAAATTAATTTTAAAATCAGAAAATAACATTGCAAATACTTATTTGGTACAATTCAGTAACTCTCAATTAATAAATGTGTGTTGTTTGAAATGCAATTTAAAAATGAACAGCTGTTTTATTAAAAAGTATTATTCACATGGCCAAAATGTAAACAACTCTGTGGAGGGATCTTTAAAGGCTTCTGGGGCAGAGCCCTAAGGGATTTTGCTTAGTTTTTCTTTTGATATCTCATCTACAGACCAAGACCTTTCTTTGGACACCTCTACCAAGTTTCTACGCCCAGCCGCTCTCTCAAATTAGTGGGGACAAAGTTTCCAATTAAATATTTAAATTCCCCCATGTTAATCTTATGGGAGAAAATCCAACTTTGATGGCCTGTGGGGCAAAGCTCGAGGATTTTTATTACATGAATTGGTGAAAGGGGGCGTCTACACAAAAAATACTTTATTTTGACACGTCGTTTGTAAAAATCCGTCCATTATTAACGGAGGAGTAGTGTTTTCAAGAAATCGCCTTCACGTATTATATATAAGGATACTGTTATAATCAATCATCTGGTGTTAACATCTTCATTTCTGAGTCAATCCAATGTCTAAAATGTGAGATATTGATATAGACACCAGGGATATCTCCGCCACAACCAATGCCCCAGGAGACAATGCCTACTTGGACGTAAAAGGTAGACTCAACCATTGAGGAGCACATAAGAGGTCCTCCTCCATCGCCCTGCAAACATGTTTTATATTTAACTGTCAAAGGTCATACGAGAGCAACAAAGTAACAATGTAACTGAAGTACAGTGTAATAAAGGAGATACGTATGAAAATGGATTAAAATTGGTTTTCTTATTTCTCATCTAAATAAGTATTGATTTAAATACTTACTGTGCATGCATCTTGACCTTTTTTGCCCAAAGCACAGATGAAGCCTTCATGAAGGTGGAAATGCCTTCCCAACCTTGTTGTCTGTAGTTTTTCTTCACAAAACTTTCTTGGCACAATCAGCGACTCAATTTTCTTTAGAGTTGATTCATAGTTTTCACCCAGTCCTGTAATTGTGAGATAGAGTACTTTACTGAATAGTTCCATATACATACATTCAATTGAATTGGCAAATATTCAGCCACAAATAGATGATGGCAATAGTTATCCAACCAGATGAGAGCAGTGTTGTGTGCAAAGATAATTTGCTTATAAGGTCCATTTGTCAACAAGTAATTAAAGAACCTAACAAAATGTTAGTGGTTTACTTATAACCACAAAATAACCAAATACCCCCGCCGCAGAAAACCTGCAGACTAAGCGAATTTCAACCTGTCTGATTACATTATTACAAAAATTTTCCATGAATAAGACATATTTATTCCCATTTTAAATAACATTAGATTTAACGATGACTTAGGTTTGCTGCTACGGGGAAGGTAAAAAGTGTTTTTTGACCATACATCAATAGTATAGGATGAAATAAATAAATTTGTCAAATTTTATCAACATATATCCATAAACAAGTAAACTACAACAGTTTTCATTTTCTCCTTAAGAATAACATGGGAATTTTAAATTACACTATTTTTGAATTTTCTCTGTGACCGTTTGGCATACAACAGCGCTTCAATATACTAAATTATTTCTTTTTTTAAGCTCCACAAAACGGATTAAAAAGAAATTGCAAAATTTGTTGCTTTTAAGGTCAGAAATGGGAAAAACCCATTTTTACCCCAAAAAACCCCCCATAAACCCCCGTTCCCATGGTCCGATTATGCTGGTTCGCGAACTCGTTTGAATAAACGTAGGTTTACACGTTTGTACCAAATTTCATCAAAATCGGATCATTTTTGCTCGAGTTATCGTGCTACCGGACACACACACACACATATATATAAAGGGTGCGGCAGAAAGAACTCCCCTATTAGGAAAGCTCATAAAAACAAAACCAAGTAAGATATAACATTTTTATTGCTATTAACCAAAAACACACATTATGCCATTTAAAAAAATATAAAATTATAGTGCTTTAAATAAAATGTCGTTTTAATAATCGATAATTTAAAATTATCGTGTTTTAAATAAAATGTCATTTAAATGGAAAGTCTAAGGTATACGAACATCGCCCTCAAAGTTTGGAAGCCCTGAAGGAAAGAATAAGGCATGAAGTTGCAGCCAACTCACCCGACATGACCCGAAAGGTAATGGACAACTACCGGGAACGTTTGAACCAATGTGTTAACACTGGAGGCCGCCATTTAAATGACATTTTATTTAAAACACGATAATTTTAAATTATCGATCATTAAAACGACATTTTATTTAAAACACTATAATTTTATATTTTTTTAAATGGCATAATGTGTGTTTTTGGTTAATAGCAATAAAAATGTCATATCTTACTTGGTTTTGTTTTTATTAGCTTTCCTAATAGGGGAGTTCTTTCTGCCGCACCCTTTATATATATGTGTGTGTGTGTGTGTCCGGTTGTGATATATGAGTTAGTCTCAATATCTCACAAATTTATATATGAATTTAAACGGATGGTGTTTTTGGCCTCTAGGGACTTCAAAAAAAAAAAATATATCGGTCCCAGGTCCAGGTCTTACGATGAGTACTACGGTAATAGCTTATTCCCTATATGGGAAATTCGCTAAAACACATCGGATGGAAAATCTAAAGCCGGGTTTTCACGCTCCGATAAAACATAACGACTTGTCTGCAATGACTAATCGTTACGTTTTGTCGTAGGTTGAGCGGACCATTTACACGTTCCGTCTTTTTCTCTAACTTTGGCTCTCAAATCTCTACCAGATGTATCTTGTTGTGAAGTAGTTGATAGGCTCCCTGTATATTTGAAAATGGATGAGTTACTGTTATAGTCTGTTTACATTATTTGTGTTGCAACAAGTTTCAAGAGGATAAGAAAATCTAGAAGTAAGTGGTGTCGGCATTGGCTACTGAAAAAAACAGTTGTCTCATGTGGAGTTGCTAAAGGAGTTGAGGAACGAACCCTCTGACTGGACTATTATTAACTCAATGAACTCATTAAAAAGTCACGAGAGGCTTGACGTATGCTGACATAGTGACAAATGTGACACAAAACCGTAAAGATAAACTACACACTACACTACACAGTCAAAATATACCACAGAGTGGTAAACAACAGTACTACACAGTACAATTACACAACAGTTAACTGGATCAACGCGACATCGGAGGGTCTACAGGTTGCAACGATGAATGAGTCACCATTTACAGGCAACGACTTGTCGCTACGATCTACAGAAAATCGCTACGATCTCCAGAAATTGGTGGAAATTTCCACCAACCTTCCAACCTCACTCCAACTCAGACAATACGTAACGACTTCCAGTTTACACGTTCCGTCTTGAATGAACGTTTTGTCGTTGCAGACAAATCGTTACGTTTTATCGTAGCGTGTAAACCCGGCTTAAGGGACAAACAAGTTTTTTCGGGACAATCGCACTGTCCTGTCCTTGTTTAGGAAATAAATTGAATCTGGTTTGAACTATTTAAAAAAAATTGAAAACAAGGCAGAATGCCCTGTGCATTGTAACTGGGTATCTTATTTTGAGTAAAATAATTTTTGATATATGTATATAATAAATAACTTCCAAATTTGTAGCACCGGTCGCACGTCCCCAGTACAGTCTTGATTCACTCAAAAAGTTGTCTGTTTGTCCCAATTTAATGCAATAAACTTTAGTTGCCTACTATTTATCAAAATAACATATCCTAAAGTTTAAATGTGAGTATTACACCATAGTTAATATGTAAACTTATATATAATGCTTTAAAACTTGGTCTCCACAATATTAAGTAGCGCCGGTCGCAAGGTTTGTAATTTAAGTTTCTAGCCGTTATATGGCAGGCCGAGCTCCAGTTCCTTGTCAGTTGTGAGTGGGATGTCGGTGAGGTGCATGGTGCGTGTGCTCAAAGTTCAGCTATTTATTGGTAAGTAATCTATATATATATAAAAGAGGATTAGTGGCTTGAAGGTACATAAGTCCCTAAAAAGCTTAAATGTAACTATATAATTATTGTAATATTCAAACAAACTCGGTATAAAATTATCTAGCCTATGTGTGCCGTTATCCCCGGTTTTATATAATATACAGTATACATTGTAGAATTTACTGGCAAATAAGTAATCCAAAGTTAATATTGCGTACTGGCTTAGTGATAAATAACGACCAGCTGTATTGAAGTAAACAAAAATCAGCTGTATTTTGGCTTCCAATGCTATTCTTATGGAAATTTCTGTTAACATTTTGGGAATTCTACTATTTTTCCCGCCGTCACGGGATAGAGACCTTTAATTTCAGCCCTCTCCCGTCGGTCTACAACATCCCAGTCGCCTTCAATTTTGATGCAAAGAACCCCCTTACGTAATTAGTATATAGATGTTGGATTGTTTGTATGTTTGTATATTTGGCAGTGATTATCTTAGAAACCGCTGGACCGATGGCCACAAAACTTGGTACATACGTGTAGAATTTCATGGATTAGGTTTATACACCATCAATTTCGTGATCCGTCCAAAACGGCTCCGCCCCAGTGGCTCTGGAGTTTCCCCATGTTAATCTTATGTGTACTTATTGAGCGGAGCGAGCGAAGCGAGCGAAGCTCTTATACGTCGACTCTTATGCATTTCGTAATACGCAAACTCCTCCTAGACGGCTGAATCGATCGTTTTCAAATTTTGCTTGGTGATAAAGACCATATCGGTGAGTGCCAACATCTATATGGCGTTAAAAGATACTCTCAGGAATCCGCCCCACTGGGTCTCAAAGTTTCAATGTAATCCTTATGGAAGCAGTATTTGACACATAAACAAAGACATATGATCAGCTGTTGACTTTTGAATGCAGTAGATAAGGAAAAAGCTGATAGAATTATTACACAGATATTAGAACAGAAACGGTATGGATCATAAATATAACTAGGTGTACAATGCAGTTGTCTGCTTGCAATATTGAGCGGAGCCAGCATATTCAATATCAATGATTTTTTTGCATTTTAAATAGAATGCCTATTTGCAGAGGTATCCAAAGTCAATCATAAGTCAGGATTAAGTGAATGAATCGTCTACTTGCAGGAACCGTATTCTATGTTTCATCTGGTTCTCATAAATTAAATGTCTACTTGCAGTATCCAATGCCAATGATATATTTGGTTCGCATAAATGGAATGCCTATTTACAGATTCTAAAGTCAATAGTACGTATGGTTCACGTAGACGGATTGTTTACTTGTAGTATCCAAACCCAATGGTACATGTAAATGAATAGTCTACTTGCAGTATCCTCAATAAATCAATGGTCCATTTATTTTGTTCACATAAATAAAATGCCTAATTGCAGTATCCGAAGTCAATGGTAGGCTTAGGCCTACTTCTGCTTCACTTATATGGGATGTCTATGTGCAGTATTCAAAGTCAATGATACGTCGGGTTCAAGTCAACGAATTGTGTTATATTTGGTTCACATTAGTGGAATTCCTATTTGTAGACTGCAAATAGGAATTGAACATGTTCCAATCAGATAGATATTCAAAGTCTACATTAATTGCACGTCTTGCTCACATAAAATGCTGTAAGTTATTTACAGATTCCAAACGCAATATGGTGCATCAGCCTAATTCCGGCAACCCTTATTATTGGTTTAAGTCCTGTGGTCCGAATATTACCATTTCAGATTTATACCTTCCCATATGGTTGGTTACATGACTGTGCCAAATTTCCTGCAGATCGCTTAAGCCTGTCAGGTGGAGCCTGACCTGTATTTGTAAAACAAAGGCAGTGAGTGTAGTATAAGAGCTTCGCTTCACTCCGCTCAATAATTTCGATACTGCAAATGAATCATGGTAGGCCTAAGCAATACCTGTATTATTAAAAGGCAATAACGATTATTATTATATTATTATTACCCATTGTATGTAGAATTTGCTTTTCTTTATTTTTTTTTCAATGTCTTCTTTCTTCATTATTAAAAAAAGAATCATTTATTTGTACAGAAGACTTATTTGCATTGAACATTCAT